CCATTACAAATCCGAATGAAATATTAATATTAATATTCTTAACGGTCTATATCAGGTCGTGATTATCTATTTGATCTTTATTTATAATATTTCTTATTGTACAACAATAAACAAATCATGTACTGAGCTGAGTCGCAACAGTTGATTATATACAGTCAACAATTCCTTTATAAGCAAACCAGGTAAATGTGCCATTATAAATTAATGTGCTTATAGGGAGAGGGGTGTAGGTAGATATAATGTGTTGCGAAAAAATTGCACGATAGGACTCTGCAAACTTCATAGATAGCTCAGCAACAAAAATTCCTGTTTTGTTATATGATTTGACCAGACCAAAATTAAGTTTAATATATAACTTGACCCTAAGATTTGCAATAACATTAGAAAAAGAACATAATTTGACCCACAGTCGGAACTCGATAAAACGAATTTTTGTTATAATGAAGTTTTTCTAGTTTACCCAATTCATTTTTCATACAATTCCATATATAGTAAATTATAACTCGATAAGACGGATAATATCGGTTTATCGAAGGAAACTTCACTTTATTTTGTACAATTTTATAAATGATTTACAGTAAGTGGTAGTACGTATTGTTCCCTAAAATTAAAAAATTAAAAATATGTGTTCTAAAACAATCGAAACCTACTCCAACGAATAGAGATCTTGCTATTCGTTTTAAAGTTCATGAAAATACTATTTGTGACATATTGAAACGAAGGTCAGGATATCTTAGTATTAATCCAGAAGATCCCAATTCACATAATGAACATTTACGCAAAGGAAAATATTCAGGTCTAGAAGATGCATTGATTTTTTGGACAACACAAATGCTTAAAGCAAATTTAACTATTACCAGTCAGTGTGCAAATCCTAAAAATTAAGGGTAGAGTATACGTAACACGAATTTTATTATGATACAGTGGATTTTTTTTTGCTGCAGATCACTAAGATTATTTTTTATTATGAAAACGTAAAAACAAAAATAAAAATTAAAATTAAAATTAAATGATTTCAATTTTTTAAAAGAGTTTGCCATTTTTTAGACATTGCTTCTGCTATTGAATCTTCTTTTAAACCAATTATTGCTATATAACAATGGAAATTAGAAAGATTAGGCAATTTACGTAAAACAATATCACTCAAAACAAGACCATTAATAATGAGTTGATCAAGTAAATGTAATGCATCATTCTGACGTTTTATGGTTTTGTTATTCGTAGTTTTATAGATCATCAATTCTGAAAGCCCTTTTTCTTTTATATTTTTATTATTAGCTTGACAGAACACACCTATAATATCATCTCTTGTATTATCTTTCTGTTTTCTTTTCAAAAAATCAACTACTGCATCTACTACTTCTAACATTCTAAGCACATCACTGCTTATATCATACAAACTAGGTTTATCTTTAGCAAATCTAATACAATTGTCACATTTCTTACATGAAGGTGCAGGCTTATCTTTTGGCCATGAGTAATAACCATTTAGTATCACTTGGCGGCAAACATATAGTTCTTCACAATAATAAATTACATTAAAAATGTCTCTTTGCTTATCCAATAAATAATTAACTTGAATTTTTTCACCAATTTCATCAAAATTGGTGGTATATTGGAAATCAGATAGTTTTTGAATTGAGCTAAAAAGGTAATGAAGTTAATCCTGTATTTGTTTTTCCTTTAAAAATTGGAAAAAATTAACATTACCTCTCTCTTCCACTAGTAACAATTCCATATACAGATCTAATATCATTTCTTGAGAAAAACAAAACACTTTTTGATTCAACTCTATCTCTCCCTGCTCGCCCAACCTCTTGTATCAAGTTTCCTATAATCAATAAATAATAAATATATTTGTGTGGTTGTCATCCAAACCACCCATTGAAATTTTATATCCTTAATACTTACCTATGCTCAGTGGGAAGGTGATATGTATTACAAGTTGAATGTCTGCTGTGTTGATTTTTTGAAAAGAAAACAGAAAGATAATACAAGAGATGATATTATAGGTGTGTTCTGTCAAGCTAATAATAAAAATATAAAAGAAGAGAGTAAAACTACAAAAAAATTATTTTTATTATATACATTCGCATACATAAATGAGATGTCCACCAGCAATATGGGGGTCTGAGAACTCCTGGCCAAAATTGAGTTTTTTGCATAATGTATATCTATAT